CGCGCCCACTCCGCCGGCCGCGGACCCTGCAGGCTCGCGGGGATCACCCCCGAGTGGCTGCGTCCCCTGGGTAGGTGAGTGAGCGCCCTGCGGCGCCCGAGCTGGCCGGGAAGAAGGAAATCTGGGCTCCTGGCACCTCACGGGGGGAGCAAGTGGGCAGGAGCCGGGTGGGTGGGTGGGGCAGGACCCGGAGACCCTGGGTTGCGCGATGCGACCGGCCTGTGTTTTTGTTTTGATAGTCGAGGGGTGTGATTGGGTTGGTGGAGTTTGGGGGGGAGGCTTGTGTGGTTGGGAGGAATCTGGTGTATTTGAGAGGAGGCGGCTGCTTGAGATGGGTTGGGGCAGAGGGTTGATGGAGGGTGGGGCTTTGGAAGATTTCGAAGTTTCTTGTTGCCCCTGGGTGAGGTGATTGCATGCGGGGACTTGGGATGGGCGGCTCAGGACTGGAGGAGGGAATGAGGAGCCCTTCTTGCCGGTAATTTACTTCCTTTCGGGAGATTTGCTTCCTCTTATACTGCTAGTTAAGGAGGAAGAGGCTGAGAAGCCTGTGCTGGCAGATCTTTGCCCCTTTCCAGAGCCCGTACCATCCCTAGTCTCAGGGACGTGTAGGAAGGGGCGGCCCCCAGGAGCAGGGAGGGTTCCTGATATGCATGCTGAGGGGTTTGGGGTCCATCACTGTGGAGTAGTGGCTAGGACCATCTGCAGTCCCACTGGCTCTTTTGAGTTGCTAGTGTGTGTGTGTGTGTGTGTGTGTGTGTGTGTGTGTGTTTTCTTGCAGCTCTCCCTGTTGGGGAAGGCTTCTGGGTGTCTGGTTAGAGGTGTTTGGAGGTGGGGAGGCTCTGTGGAACCGCTTTCCATGCAGCATAATCTCTTTTACAGGCCACCTAACCTATTTGTGGTTTCCTCTGCCTGAGCTCAGCCATGGCCAGCGAGAGCTCCCCTCTGCTGGCCTACCGGCTCCTGGGGGATGAGGGGGCTGCCTTCCCTGCCAATGGGGCCGGGAGTCCTGGAGGGGCATCTGCCCGGAAGCTCTCCACCTTCCTGGGTGTGGTGGTGCCTACTGTCCTATCCATGTTCAGTATAGTTGTCTTCATGAGGATTGGTGAGTGGGGGTGGGGGTCTTATTCAGGAGGGAAGTGGTGGGGGAGGGATGGGATTGGGATGAGGTTGGTGAGCGGCCCTTGGAGAAGTGGGTGGATGAAGAGCTTGGGGAAGGGGCTTCCTGTGGCCTTGTGTTTAGCCCTGCCCTGGAGCTCTGCTGACCAGTGGGGCAGGGGGTAGGGGGTGTGAGCCCCCCGTGACTGCTTTGCCACTCCTGCCCCAGGGTTCGTGGTGGGCCATGCTGGGCTGCTGCAGGCCTTGGCCATGCTGCTGGTTGCCTACTTCATCCTGGCGCTCACCGTGCTCTCTGTCTGTGCCATCGCTACCAACGGAGCTGTGCGAGGGGGTGGAGCCTACTGTATCCTCCAACATCGATGGACTGGGGTCTGGGCTGTTCTGTCTCCTAGGGAATGTGTGGAAGGGACCAGTACCCCCCCATCACTTGGGGACAGGGCAAGTTGCAATGAATGTCCAGCAGGCAGGCTGGCAGGGTGAAGGTGACCAACATTGCCCTACATGTTAGTGTCACTCTCCAGTCTCCTAACAACTATTGATTAGATAGTAATCATTTTACAGATGAGGAAACTGGAGTTCAGAGGATGTTAGTGGCTTGTGGAAAGCCACGTGGCTACGTAGGGATACATTGCTGCAGGGAACAGTTCTGGCATTTGCAGGGAAATCCTGGAGGCCACAGAGTGCTTTGTGCCAGGGCCCCTTCCTCATGCTTCATTTTGGTTTCTTTTCCCTTAACGCTCACTCCCTGCTTCCACTTTTAGTCATGATCAGTCGGACTCTGGGACCTGAGGTCGGGGGCAGCATTGGCCTCATGTTCTACCTGGCCAACGTCTGTGGCTGTGCTGTTTCACTGCTGGGGCTGGTGGAAGCTGTGCTCGATGTCTTCGGGGCTGGTCTGTGCTCTCTCCACCTGGTCCCAACAGCTCTGCGGGTTTGCAGGGCCTGGGATTGTGGGTTCATGCAGGAGAGGGGGAAAGTGAGCCATTAGCCTGGCTTTCTCGAGCTTCCACTGTGTGGCCAGCCTCATGCAGGAGATGTCGACATCCCAGAGATTGTCCTTGTTCACAGGCTAACATTTCTAAAGTTGACAGAGCAAAATTGGTGGTCCCCACCAGGGAGAGCTAAGGTGCTGGGCTAATGTTGAGAAGGCAAGTAGGAAGGGTGGTCTCTTTGATAATAGGTGGGCAAAGGGGGTCTGGTCCTGCTTTGGGACATGGTTGGGGCTGGTTCCCTCGTTAGGGTCGGGCCTTTAACTCTGTCCCTGCCTCTCTCCAGATGCCACAGGGCCCCTTGGGCTCCGGGTCCTGCCCCAGGGCTACGGCTGGAACCTGCTCTATGGCTCCCTGCTGCTGGGCCTGGTGGGTGGGGTCTGCACGTTGGGAGCTAACCTCTATGCCCGTGCCTCCTTCCTTACATTCCTGCTGGTCTCCGGCTCCCTGGCCTCGGTGCTGGTCAGCTTTGTGGCTGTGGGGCCCAGGGTCATCCCCTTGACTCCTCGGCCTGGCCCCAACGGCTCCTCCCTGCCACCCCGGGTTGGTCACTTCACTGGCTTCAACAGCAGCACCCTGAAAGACAACTTGGGTGGTAAGCTGGGCACTGTGGTGCCAGGGTTCTCGGGGCGAGGGCAGGGCATGTGAAGAAGCTGGGTCGTTAGAATCCCTGGATGAGAACAGAGATTGCAGGGAATTGGGGCAGGAGGTCTGGACCTCTGAGCAGTGCAGTTTAATTCAAATCTGTCTGTTGTGTGTTTGGCCCAGTGGGGCATGAGAGAGACCACAAGCCAGTACCTGTCTTACAGGAACTTGTGTTCTCATTGGAGAGATAAGATGTGCACTCAGGAAACAATGAAACAGCACAATAAGACCAAATGTGATTCAAGCAGACGAGGATCACCCCAAGAGTTGAGAGGAGAGAGGGGAAGGCATCTCAGGACACGGCATGGATTACGGCCTGGAGCAGGACATGAGCATTGGGGAAGAAGGAGGCCATGAGTCCAGCTGACCCAGGGCCAGTGAAGGGGTCAGGGCTGGGGTCTTGGTGATGGTAGTGGAGAGTAGGCTGAGGGATTGTGGAATGTGAGGAGAGGGTGGTAGGACCAAGACGCCTGGATTCCTAAGAGAGATGGAGAGAGGGGAAGGCATCTCAGGACACGGCATGGATTACGGCCTGGAGCAGGACATGAGCACTGGGGAAGAAGGAGGCCATGAGTCCAGCTGACCCAGGGCCAGTGAAGGGGTCAGGGCTGGGGTCTTGGTGATGGTAGTGGAGAGCAGGCTGAGGGATTGTGGAATGTGAGGAGAGGGTGGTAGGGCCAAGACGCCTGGATTCCTAAGAGAGATGCTGACATGCTGACATCCTCTCCTCTCTGGGCACAATCCCCCCACAGCTGGCTATGCCGAGGACTACACCACTGGGGCCATGATGACGTTTGCCAGCGTCTTTGCTGTCCTCTTTAATGGCTGCACGGGCATCATGGCTGGGGCCAACATGTCAGGTGATCCCCTGCCTGCTTCCCCCTGGGGGCATGGGGCTGCCACCCTGAGGGACAGAGGAGCATGGCGGGAGGGCTAACCTCTCTGTTCACTCCCCTTCCTCCAGGAGAGCTGAGGGACCCTAGCCGGGCGATTCCGCTGGGCACGATTGCTGCTGTCGCCTACACCTTCTTTGTCTATATCCTGCTCTTCTTCCTCTCCAGCTTCACCTGTGACAGGTGTCTGGGGAGGGGGTAGAGGTGGGGTGTCGGAACAAGATTTGTGCACATGGGTCACTGAGGGACATGCAGACTGGGGGGAAGATCCCCAGGTTGTTGGGGTGGAGGGAAAATGGGACGGTTTCTTTCTCCCCTTGGGAGAAAGACAGAGCTGCCACCGCCGATGGGAGGGCTGGCTCCCTGATGATGGCCAATCTGTAGCCAGCAGCTGCCATGGACCTGAACTGTCACCACCACTTGGTCTGGAGTAGGGGTGGGAAATGGCTTTCTAGTCAATTTGTATTTCCACCAATTTGGCCACTTAGGCATATACCATTGAGAATGACCACCAGGTAACTAAATCAAAGGCAGCCCAATGATAAGCAACAAATACCAAGTGTATCCCCTTGGCACATTGTTTTTATTTTTTTTTGCTAGCAGGTACAGGGGTCAAATCCCAGAGCTTGGTGTTATCAGCATCATGTCCTTGGCACATTTGTATGTTACTCTGATCTTGGGACCAGGGCTAGGGTCAGTTGAGAGTACCCAGCTCTTAACCCCACAATGCTGTGACCCCTTTTCTCACAAGAGCTCTGTGATGGATGCTCACTGATGGTCTGTGTCCCTCCCAGGACCCTGCTGCAGGAGGACTATGGGTTCTTCCGTGCCATTAGCCTGTGGCCCCCACTAGTGTTGATTGGCATCTATGCTACATCACTGTCAGCATCCATGAGCTCACTCATCGGCGCCTCCCGCATCCTCCATGCCCTGGCCCAGGATGACCTGTTTGGTGGGTTCTTCTCTGCCACCGAGCTGACTCTGAGCGTGCCCTCCTGTGCCTGTCTCGGTCCCCGCTTGGCCCAGGCTTATATGTCTGCCTACATTCTGCTGTTACAGGAGTGATCTTGGCACCGGCCAAGGTCGTGTCCCGAGGGGGAAACCCTTGGGGGGCTGTGCTGTATTCTTGGGCCCTAGCGCAGGTAAGTCTTCCTCTTTGAGCTGGCGGGATCAGGAGGTGCTCAGGTGTGGGCTGGGAGACACGCATGAAAATGCAGAGGCATTGGCATTTTGAGGGAGTGCATTGGCACTTTAAAAAAAATTTTTTAAAAGATGACCAGTAAGGGGATCTTAACCCTTGAGTTGGTGTTGTCAGCACCACGCTCTCCCAAGTGAGCTAACTGGCCATCCCTGTATAGCAATCTGAACCTGTGGCCTTGGTGTTATCAGCACCACACTCTGCCAAGTATGCCACAGGCTGGCCCGTGCACTGGCACTTTGGATAAACTCCCCCTCTTTGTCCTTGCCCAGCTGATGCTCCTGGCTGGGAAGCTGAACACACTAGCTGCCGTGGTCACTGTCTTCTACTTGGTGGCCTATGCTGCAGTAGACTTGTCCTGCCTGAGCCTGGAGTGGGCCTCGGCCCCCAATTTCCGGTGAGAGATTAAGATATCTGCGTCCCCAGAGAAAAGGAGGGAGGAATGGGAGGGACTCACACCCAGGGGGTGGGGGTGGGGACTGGAGCGGTGAGACTAGGAGTTCAAGGCAGACCCTGAATCCCCTTCCTTCCTCTCTCCGTCCCCCCAGCCCCACCTTCAGCCTGTTCTCCTGGCACACCTGCCTGCTGGGGGTGGCCTCCTGCCTGCTCATGATGTTTCTCATCAGCCCTGGGGCTGCCGGCGGCTCCCTGCTTCTCATGGGCCTGCTTTCTGCCCTGCTCACAGCTCGAGGAGGCCCCAGCAGCTGGGGCTATGTCAGCCAGGCCTTACTTTTCCATCAGGTTCGGGGAGCTTGCAGGAGGGTGGGGATGGGAGGGAGAGGCAGTCTGGGAAAGTCCCCTTCCCTCCCAGGGGGCCTCCTCTTCCCTTGGCTGGAGTTGGTGTTCCTGCCTGAGAGGTGCTGAGTGGGGACTGCCCACTGGAGACCTTCCTCCCCACCACCTCGTCCCTGTCCCCAGGTGCGGAAGTACCTGCTCCGCCTGGACGTCCGGAAGGACCATGTGAAGTTCTGGCGGCCTCAGCTGCTGCTCCTGGTGGGGAACCCCCGGGGTGCCCTGCCTCTGCTGCGGTTGGCCAACCAGCTCAAGAAGGGGGGTCTCTACGTGCTGGGCCACGTCACCCTGGGAGACCTTGGTGAGGTGCCCTCCCACCTCCTCCCATCTTTCCTCTGCCCTTCCATCTCAGACGCCTCATTCCTCTTCTCAGATGACCCTTCCAACCAGCCACCACACTGTCCCGACCCATTTGGGATTTGGACCCTAGGAAAGAGAAAAAGGGTTTGGCCAGTATTTGCTGCCTTCCTTTCCTCACCTTCTCTGCAGACTCCCTGCCCTCGGACCCCGTGCAGCCCCAATACGGGGCATGGCTGAGCCTGGTAGACCGCGCCCAAGTGAAGGCCTTCGTGGACCTCACCCTCTCGCCCTCCGTGCGCCAGGGGGCTCAGCATCTGCTGCGAATCTCGGGCCTTGGTGAGCTGCTCCTCCCTGGGTCCTCTCAGCCCTCTCTGTGGCCTCAGTAAATTCCGTTCCCTTCCCCAGAGAGTAAACCACAAATTGTGAACTGCAAAAGGAACTCACAGTCTATTGCAGATAAAACAGCGCTGAGAGATAACAGCCGCAGACACCGTGCGATAAGTCTAATAGGAGATGCTAAAGACTAGAGATGAGAGGATACCATATTGGATTTTTTTTTCCCTCTTTTTTTCTAAACCAAAAATTGTGGCATAGGCCCTGAAGAGTATATTTCTGAGAACAATGGGTGAATTATTTGAGTCTTGGGCTGCCCCATCAAATCTAGGGCAGATGATTTCTAACCACCAGAGTTCAGAGAAAGGAAGACCACTCTGTACTGATGTGGTTGGCAAGGGTTTCATGGTAAGATGCTAACTCTGCCAGGCCTTGAAAGGGGTTGAGAAGTAGGAGTGGTGTAACACGTCTCCAGAAACCGCAAAGGATGCTGGAGGGTGTGGGGGCTGACGCTTCTGGATGGAGTAGAAGATTCCTAGCTTTGTGGCTCTTAGTGCTGAGGCCTCCAGCCTTGTACCCCAGGCTCCTTCAAATCCATGCTCAGTCTCCTCCTCCCTTAATCCCAGGACCAGTGTCTGTCACCTGAGTGCATGCCTCTTCCCCAATTAGAGTCTGGCTAAAGTTCAACAGTGTTGGACTATGCCCTGTTCAGTATAAACCAGAACCCTGCAGAATGTTCAGGAGGGTGTGTGACTAGTTTAATCTGCAAGATCAGCTGGAGCTCACACCTGCTGAGGTGTCTGGGGTGTTATCAAGCATTATTAGCCCTTGGAGCATCTGAAAACCTGGTTTTTCCTTAGCTCCACCTTTTGTGTAAAGAGACTACTACATTCATGAAATTTATCCTGTGGAACATGATTCCAATACAAGAAAAAGCATTTCGCCTAAATAGTAAATTCTCTTGGCAGGCAGGTTTGGATTTATTGGTAGATTTTTAGCAACCCATTTTGTTTCATGAGACAGGGTCTTTCTTGGAAGAGGTCTCTGAGTCACTCCGTAAACTCAGCCCTGATAAAGAGAGTAATTAGCTCATTCCACAGTGGTTGTTCAAAAACTAAAATCCAGGAGGTGTTGGTAGGGACTTGGGATGTTGTCATTGGTACACGTCCAGCTCAGTGGCTCTGCGAATGGCCTCTAGTGCAGGGTGGGCAGTGTGCACCTACTAGCATGAACCTTTGGGCCAGTGACTTCACCACTTGGTGCCTCAGGTTCCTTATCTGTAAGAGAGGAGAATAAATAGTACCCACCTCATAGCGTTGCTTCAAGGATCAAATGAGCTAAAGTTCAAAGTGCTTTCCACAGGATGTAGCCCCTGGTAAGTGCGCAGGTGCTGGCTGTTTCTTCTCCAAGGACCGTGCTATGGAGTGCCATAGCTTTGCAGTAGTAGAAGCAGACAGTGCAGCCCCAGCCCATGATCTCACCATCCCCCAGGAGAATCTGGGGTGCTGTTACCCCAGCGATTGAGGCCATGAACTTGACTGATCACAGTGCCTGGTTTGCCCAGTGGAGTTAAACTGTCATCTCCCATCATGAGAAAGGAGTGCTGCCTAAAGCTTCTGGACGGCATTTTACTCTCTATGCATCCAAGTGCTTGTTAGTTAAAAGAATCCTGAGGTGAACTTTGCCTATTTGAGTGGAGGACATCAATCGTGGAGATAAATAAATGCATGTGAAAGTGTTTAGGAAAACGAAGTCATTATGCAAATGCGCGTAATGTTGCCATAAGAGCCCGAGCACAGTGGGAGTGAAATGCCTTGTGGCTGACACACGTCGCTGTCCGCGTGTACGAGTGGGCGCATGTTAGCGTGGTGTAATAACTCCGCCTGTGAGCCTGATTCCTGTGTGATCTTAACTGCCTGCCTCCCCTTCTCTGGCCCCAGGTGGCATGAAGCCCAACACGTTGGTTCTGGGTTTCTACGATGACGCTCCGCCGCAGGACCATTTCCTGACAGACCCGGCTTTCTCTGAGCCTGAGGACAGCACCAGGGAGGGTGGGGCCCCAGCCCTGAGCACCCTGTTCCCTCCACCCCGGGCTCCTGGGAGCCCCCGGGCTCTCAGTCCCCAGGACTATGTGGCCACTGTGGCAGATGCCCTCAAGATGAACAAGAATGTGGTTCTGGCCCGGGCCTGCGGGGCCTTGCCCCCGGAACGGCTAAGCCGGGGGTCTGGGGGCACCTCTCAGCTGCATCACGTGGACGTGTGGCCCCTCAACCTTCTGCGGCCCCGCGGTGGGCCCGGCTACGTGGATGTCTGTGGCCTCTTCCTGCTGCAGATGGCAACCATCTTGGGCATGGTGCCTGCTTGGCACAGTGCCCAGCTCCGAATCTTCCTGTGTCTGGGGCCTCGGGAGGCCCCTGGGGCAGCTGAGGGGCGGCTCCGGGCACTGCTGAGCCAACTGAGGATCCGGGCTGAGGTGCAGGAGGTGGTGTGGGGCGAGGGGGCTGGGGCTGGGGAGCCAGAGGAGGAGGAGGAAGGAGACTTTGTGAACGGCCGGCGGGGAGAGGCTGAGGCAGAGGCCCTGGCATGCAGCGCCAACGCCCTGGTGCGGGCCCAGCAGGGGCGCAGCTCGGGAGGAGGGCCTGGGGGGCCTGAGGGTGGCGATGGTGAGGAGGGGCCCGCCACGGCCCTCACTTTCCTGTACTTGCCTCGGCCACCCGCTGATCCTGCCCGCTACCCCCGCTACCTGGCGCTGCTGGAGACTCTGAGTCGCGACCTGGGTCCCACCCTGCTCATCCATGGCGTCACCCCTGTCACTTGCACTGATCTCTGAGCCCGTTCCTCCAGGGGTGGGTTGAGAGGGCCCAGGCCTGGCGGCTCATTCTGATTAGTGGAAAAGGAGGAGAAGCACCGCCTTCCCCTGGCCCTGTGCTTGGGACGTGGAGGCCGGTGGAGGTTTAAAGGGGATCCTGGGCTCGGGCATTGCCCTGTCTTCTTTGGTGGAGGGACCCCAGTGCACTAATGCAGGGTGGCTGTCCCCACCTTGAGGGAGGGAGACCGCAGCCCTCCCCTGGGCCCGCCTCTCCCTTCACTGGTGCCTTGACTGGAGGGGCTGGGTCTCTTCTGTGTCTCTAGGCTACCTCAGTCTCCCCATCCTGGCCACAGACTCACCGGCCCCCTGGGGGGTGATGTTTTGTTCTGTTTTATTTTTCTAACTGCTGACCGTGAATAAAAGACCAAAACACTACAGGCTGGCTGAGCACTGCTGGCGGGTAGGTGAGAGGGAGGCGGGAGGGAAGGGAGAGGTCTTTATGGAGTGTACTGCAGCGAGGCTGCCATGTGCAGGCTGGGGCTCGGGGCCTGGGGGGATCTGTGATTTGGAGGCTGGTCCGGCCTGTACCTCCCACCCCTGCTGCCCGCAGCCCCCCTTGACTCAGCTCCCGCAGAGAGCCCTCCCCTCTCCGCAGGAGGGGGCCGACTCAGGGAGGGCTGGCAGATTAGGGCCTAGGGGGCCACGTGACCCTCCCCCAGGAATGCGGTGACGTCACTGGGGGCGTGGCCGTCCCCAAAATTGGGGAGGAAGGGAAAAAAAAAAAAGCCAGAAAAAGTTTCTTTCCTGGAGTCCCAAACGAGGTGTGGGACAGAAGAGGAGGTCCAAGCCAGAGGCCCGGGCTTCCCTGACCACTGTCTGGAGTCCCTCGTTCTAGGCCATGTCGGGGCCCACCTGGCTTCCCCCGAAGCAGCAGGAGCCTGCCAGAGCCCCTCAGGGGAGGGCGCTCCCCCGAGGTGCCCTGGGGCCACCACCAGCCCATGGAGCAGGTAAGGCAGCCCGCATTCTGCTCCCAGGAACCACCAGCCACCTGGTGCTCACCTCTGCCCTTCTGCTCCTGCCTCCTGTTTGCCTGCTTCCTGCTGCCCCTTCCCCACGCCGGCTGGGACCAGCTTCCCGTGGCCCCTGCAGCCATCCCTGCCTCCTGCCCCACTCTTGGGATCCCAGGTGTTGGGGTAGGAGGAGAGGAGGGCCTCAGAGCCCAGAGGGCAGCCTGCTCGATGTGCACCCTCCTCTCCTCCCCTATCCCACCTTTTGTCTCTCTTCCTCATCCCAGCACTGCAGCCCCAACCCAGGGTAAATTTTTGCCCCCTCCCATCTGAGCAGTGTTACCAGGCCCCAGGGGGACCGGATGATCGGGGGCCGGCTTGGGTGGGGTCTCGTGGAGCACCCCAGAGATCCCAGGTGAGAACTGGGATTGGGGGGTAGGGGGTGTGGGACCCCCCCAGCGCTAAGTGTGAGTGGGGCCCAGGGCAGGAGAGGAGACATTGTGATTTTCATTCTCCTTGCTTTGGCTCCATTCTCAGGGGCTCCCCCCTGACAGGGGGGGCCTGCACCCAGGAAGCCTGGATGCTGAGATAGATTCGTTGACCAGCATGCTGGCTGAGCTGGACGGGGGTCATGGTCACATCCCATGGCGACCAGACCGACAGGTGACTCCCCTGTCTTGCCCCTGGATTCTCAATCCCCATTCACCCCCCACCCCTACTCTCTAAGTGAGTGACGACGTGCATGCCAGCATGGAGAATGCGTGGGCTGCCAGAGCTCACTAGCTTGTCAGGCAGGACTTGTCAAAAGCCAGTGCTTCCCTGGGGGCCACACACAGGGGACTCATAAACATGAATCCTGGAACAGGCCTTGCTCACTGCTTCTGGTCTGTATTTTTCCCCAGGCTTATGAGTCCTCTCAGCCCCCTGCCTACCGTACGGGCTCCCTGAAGGTGAACGGAGGGGGTGTTCCACCTCCACAGCTCCCAGCATCCCCCTATGGGGGCCCCACTCCGGCCTCCTACACTACCGCTAGCACCCCAGCTGGCCCTGCCTTCCCTGTGCAAGTGAAAGTGGCACAACCAGTGAGGGGCTGCGGACCGCCCAGGCGGGGGGCTCCTCAGGGCTCTGGGCCTCCGCCGGGCCCCCACTTTCCTCTCCCAGGTCGAGGTGACGTCTGGGGGGCTGGCTATAGGATCTACCGTGAGCCGGGGCCAGGGGGTAAAGAGGAGGCTGCTGGGGTCTCTGGCCTTGCAGGAGGTGGAAGAGGAGGCGGGCATGGGCCCCAGGTAAGCCTGGGGGGCTGGGATTTTGGGTCCTCACAGACAACTGGACACTGATTAGGTCGAGTGGGGGTGGTGTTTCATGTCCTGGTTTTAGAGAAGAGTCAGGGGTCTGGGGTGTGGAGCAGGTCGGGAAATACAGAGGGGACGGGGCCAGAGCTGCCCACTGGATCCTGGGCTGAGAGTTTTCAGATGTGCCATCTGGTGGGGGTGGTGTTTCATGTCCTGGTTTTAGAGAAGAGTCAGGGGTCTGGGGTGTGGAGCAGCTCGGGAAATACAGAGGGGACGGGGCCAGAGCTGCCCACTGGATCCTGGGCTGAGAGTTTTCAGATGTGCCATCTTGGCTGAATTGCCTGGTCACTCTTGGCATCAGGAGATAGAGATAGGACTGATCTCCTGATTCCCACCTCCCAGGTCCCCCAGAGCCAGCCTCCTGAGGAGGAGCTGGAGAGGCTGACCAAGAAGCTGGTGCATGACATGAACCACCCACCCAGCGGGGAGTACTTTGGTGAGATGACTCTGGGGGCAGAGTGGGGAGGGGGAAAGGTGGAAGGGGAGTCAGCGGGGACAGTGGGGACAGTGGATCTGGCTTCCTGTGTCTGTGCAGATTGACCCTGTCCCTCCCTGTCCCTCCCTGTCCCAGGCCGGTGTGGCGGCTGTGGAGAAGATGTGGTCGGGGATGGGGCCGGGGTGGTGGCCCTTGACCGTGTCTTCCATGTTGGTTGTTTTGTGTGTTCTACGTGTCGGGCCCAGCTTCGGGGCCAGCATTTCTATGCCGTGGAGAGGCGGGCGTATTGTGAGAGCTGCTATGTGGTGAGTGGTTGGGGCTGGGGGCGCTGAAGTCAACAGCAGGAGGCAGGGGGCTTCCAGCCAAGGTGGGAACTAGGTGTCCAAGCCCAAAGAGGAATGGGGGTCGAAGCTGGGGGACTCAAACTGATGTACAGGAAGAAGGGAGGAATTAAATAGGTAGCTAAATACTGGCTGCTGGGAGGTTAGGACAATAGTCTCTTACAGTGCGAGGCATTTTAGAGTTAAGGCAATGCATTAAATTCCCACAACACCCATGTGAAACAGATATTACTATTGATTACCATTTATAGGAAACTGAAGCTCAGAGAGGTCACATACAGTCGTCCCTCGGTATCCATGAGGGATGGGTTCCAGGATCTCCCTCGGATACCAAAATCCGAGGATGCTCAAGCCTTTGATATAAAACAATGTGGCGTTTGCATATAACCTACATACATCCTCCTATATAGTTTAAATCATCTCTAGATTACTTATAATACCTAATGCAACATAGACACTATGTAAATAGTTGTTTAGGGAATAATGACAAGAATAAAAATTCTGTACCTATTCAGTAGAGATGCAATTTTTAAAAGATTATTTTTGATCCAAGATTGGTTGAATCCACAGATGTGGAACCTGTGGAAACGTAGGGCTGACCATACCCTATCCAGGAAGTTGCACTGCTGGGACCTGAACTCAGATCTGCTCAAGTCCAACGTTCACTGAATCACATGCAGGGGCCTACATAAATAGATGGGTGGGTTGGCAGGGTGCCTGTTGGGCTTCCCTCTCCCTGCCCTTCCTGCCCTCCTTCCCAACAGGCCACCCTGGAGAAATGCTCTACATGCTCCCAGCCCATCCTGGACCGGATCCTGCGGGCCATGGGGAAGGCCTACCACCCTGGCTGCTTCACCTGTGTGGTGTGCCACCGCGGCCTCGATGGCATTCCCTTCACAGTGGATGCCACCAGCCAGATCCACTGCATCGAAGACTTCCACAGGTCAGGCCTGGCCCCTGCCCTGTCTCAGGATGTCAGACCTTTCTGATTTCTCTCGTCTCTCCTTCACACCCCAGACAGCCCCTGACCCCTCCCCGCCCCCATTTCCAACCCTTGGCTCTGCCTCATTCTCTTTGACATCACTCCCTTCCTCAAAACCCAAGACCGTACCTCCAGGCTTTCCAGTTCCCTCCTGCATTCCTCCTTCTCTGGGATCCATTGCTAGTTCCCTGCAACCCTGGGGCTTGACAGGCTCCTTGGTTCCCTTTCTCCCCAGGAAGTTTGCCCCACGATGCTCAGTGTGTGGTGGGGCCATCATGCCTGAGCCGGGTCAGGAGGAGACTGTACGAATCGTTGCTCTGGATCGAAGTTTTCACATTGGCTGTTACAAGTGCGAGGTCAGGGGGCCTAAGCAAGGGCAAGGGGTTCATGGGGTCTGGTGTGCTGGGTATGGTAGAGTAGGAGGGACGAGGAGCCAGGGGGTCTGGTGCTAATGGGAAGCTGTTTCTCCTTTTTCAACAGGAATGTGGGCTGCTGCTCTCCTCTGAGGGTGAGTGTCAGGGCTGCTATCCGCTGGATGGGCACATCTTGTGCAAGGCCTGCAGTGCCTGGCGCATCCAGGAGCTCTCAGCCACTGTCACCACCGACTGCTGAGTCTTCTCAGAAGCACCTACTGCATTCTCAGTTTCATTGGCCACCCTCCCTGACATCTACCTTTGCAACTTTTCACCAAATGCTGTCTCCTCTTCCTCCAATCATGAGAAATAAGAATCCCTCAAGTGTTTACAAAACACTTTCAAGTCTATTGTCTCATCTGATTCTCACAGCAGCTCAACATAAGCACGATTGTTACTGTCTGCATTTTTGCCCATGAGAATGCCAGAGCTGAAAGATGATGTCTCCAGGTTGTATGGTTCTCAAATTTCAGGACCAAGATCAGAATCTGGGTCTTCTTAGTTCTGGCTCAGTTTTTTTTTTTTTTTCAAATGTAGTTTGGTGTAAAGACACCCTCCTCTCAGTGCTGGGAGCAAGGCTGCAGCATGTACCAGGCGGGCAGCATTTCCTATTCTTTTGGGCCCTATTTTATTGGGGGGTGGGGGGGCGCAGGGTTCCGAACCCTTGACCTTGATGTTATCAACATCACATTCTCCCACATTCTCCAGACTCTGAGTGAGCCACCCGCCAGCCAGCATTTCCTATTAAACCTCGCACTTAATTCATTGAGAAGGGACTTGGTGTTATCCTCGGGGTGGGGGATCATTTAATCATTTAAACGGGCAGGCTTGATCGTGCCTGTTGTTCAGGACTTTAACCTACGGCCTATGCCATCAAAGTACTGGTTGGGGTTAAGACTGAGATCAGCCAGTTTAGCTCAAAGATGGGGCGCCTTTATTGAAGAGCAGGAACAATGGGATTTGCACGTAGTGCATACTGTGGTATCAATAAAGGCTGGTTCTCTGGTGGGAGCAGAAAATGGTGGGAGATGATGCTTTAAAATGGTTGCTTCCATCTTTCCCCTAAACGCCCGCGTTCCCCAAGCTCATGCCCTGCGCGAGGAGGGGGCGAAACCACTCCCAATAAGGTCAGGAGGCGCCCCGAGCAAAGGCTCCGTGGAGGGCGGAGGCTGGATGTAAACTGCTTCAGAACCTGGACACATCTCGGGGAGCGCGACCCCCGACCTCGGCCCGAGGAAGCACCCGCTTCACACCCAGAAGGCGCGGCCGCTCTCCCGAGAGCACGTTTGGTCTAACCCGGGTCCCATAATTCCTCTCGCTTGTGCAGTTCTCGTCCGGGAAAGCACGCGAGACTTCTGCGTCCCCTCCCCTTCCCATCACTCCCTGTTTCTCCCGCCCTCTCCGCTTTAGTTGTAGTTCAGGCCGCGCGAGGGTAGTTTGTGGTTCCGGACCCGGTTACGCGGGTGACGCAGGTGCAGCGCGACTGCCCATCCTCGGCTGTCCCACTTTCTTCCCTTGTCTTCGGCGCCTTGCCTGAGAGTCCCGTGTCACCCTTTCACCCTCCTCGCCATCCTTGTCGCGCGCTCGAGGCAAAGAGGGGCCCCAGGTCGCCTGGAAAACAAGCCCGCCCGAGCGCGAGCCCAACGGACGCGACCGCTTCCAGGTGGGGGAGGGGAGGGGCCTGGGGGGCCGGGCTGGTGCGAGCCTGAGGGAGAGGAGCCCAGGGGCCGACGGGGGTGGGCAGGGACACCCTTGGGGCGAGTGGGAGTATCGGAGCCATCCCCCGCTGTCGGGGATGACGGGGACAGCAGAGGGCTGGCCTTGGCGGGAGGGAGGCGGGCGCGCTGCCCCTGAGGGACGGTCCTTTCCTCCGTTCGTCGTTGTTCAGCACCCTGACCACTCCTCTCAGGGCCTCAGGCCCCCGCAGACTACGTCATGGGTGACAGTGATGACGAGTATGATCGAAGGCGCAGGGACAAGTTTAGAAGAGAGCGCAGCGACTATGACCGTTCCCGCGAAAGAGATGAACGACGTCGAGGGGACGATTGGAATGATCGGTGAGATGCTTTTCTTTAGTTTTGTCCCCCTATTTCATTCCGTTCCACTCCTCCCTCGTTGCCTTTCCCTTATAATTTTGTTAGGGTGAACCATATGAAATCGCTCACTGGACTGTTCCCTGTGGTTCAGTCTTGCTGTTGGCCAAAGAACTAGCTATGGTTTTTGAAATGTCCTGAAGATCAAAGCAGTAGAGCTAAGAGAGTGTTGAGTATGAAAACTACTATTTATACATGCACGGAAAGTGTACATTTTATTGTTTGTAAACTATATCTCAAAAAGGTTGCTTCAGAAAAAGTAACATAGTATTGACCTGACTGGAGAGGTTGTCAGACCAATTCCGTGACCAGCTATGATTGAGTTTATTGTGACTGTTTTGCCTGAAATCTTAGAAAGAGTTCTTTGGGTAATGCTAGTTGGGTTAATTGGTTATGAGATGTAGTTATTGCCCTTAGGAGCTTACAGTCTGAGGTTTGGCATGGGGGGCAAAATGGCCTTGGGTGTATCCCGCAAATGAATATATATAAGAGTTCATAATAAAGATGGTAGGACTGGCCAGTTGGCTCAGTTGGTTAGAGCACAGCCTTGTAACAGCAAGGTCAAGGGTTCAGTTCCCCACACTGGTCACCCGCCAAAAAGAAAAAAAAGATCGTAAGTGTTGACAGAACAAATCTTCAATGGAGGGGAATAGTGCTGTAGGTCAGGGAGATCTGCAGGGAAGTGACACTTAACTAGACCTGGAAAGATGAGTGGGAATTCTCCAGACACAGGTGTTGTAAGCATAATGGAGTTGTGGAGAAAAGAGCACAAATTCTAGTTTGGTTAGAGTAGTGGTTCTCAAGATGTTTACAGACCCTAGGGGATCTGCAAGGTTAAGACTATTTTTATGGCAATACTAAGATTTTATTGTTTTCATTGTATTGACATTTGCACTGATGGTGCTGCAGCAGTGGTGGGTAGAATTGTTGGTGCCTTAGCACAAAACAAGATAATGACACCAAAGAGGGGGAAAAAAACCAGTTTTCACTTATTGTCCTTGAAGCAGTAAGCATTTTTAATTTTATTAAACTCGACTCTTGACTCTTTCTTTCCAATAGGTATGGCAACATGGGAAATACGCATAAAGCATTTCTTTTTCTTTTTTCTTTTTTAAAAGATGACCGGTAAGGGGATCTCAACCCTTGATTTGGTGTTGTCAGCACCACACTCTCCGAAGTGAGCAACTGGCCATCCCTATATAGGGATCCGAACTCGTAGCCTTGGTGTTATCAGCACCGCACTCTCCCGAGTGAACCAGGGGCCGGCCCTCGCATGAAGCATTTCTATTGCGTATAGAAGTGCAGTGGTTAACTTGAATAGGTCTCATGTGATTGAGTTTCGAGCTAAACTAACAACTCTTCCGTGGTGTATTGGTTCATTTCTGTTGCTTATAACAGAATACCTGAAACTGGGTAATGTAGAAAGAAGTAGAATTTATTTCTTACAGTTTTGGAGTCTGGGAAGTCCAAAGTCCAGGCAACACATCTGGTGAGGGCCTTCTTCTTGGTGGGAACTCTGTAGAGAGTCCTGTGGCAACCAGGGTATCACACAGCGAGAAAGGGCTGAAGAAGGGTGAGCTGGGGGCCTGGCTAGTTGGTTAGCACAGTGTTGATAACACCAAGGTCAATGGTTTGGATACCTATATCGGCCAGCCACTGAGAAAATAAAAACAAAAAAATAGAACAAAAAATTTAAAAATAAATTAAAAAAAAGAAAAGCAAGCTAAACTTTTCACTGGCTTTCCTTATAAAGCCATCAGAACCACACCCATTATTCCATGAGTGGATCAGTCCATTCACAGGGGCACAGTTCTTGCAGTGTAATCACTTCTTAGAGGCCCTAGTTTTCCGATACCATAATTGGATTTCCCACCTTCTTAACACTGTCACATGGGGGTCAAGTTTCCAATACGTGAACTTTTAGGGGACACATTTAATCCATAGGCATTCCACTCCTGACCCCCAAAGTTTGTGTGCTGTTTTTACCTGAGTGAATGGCTGTCCAACAGTGGTTTTTTATACTTGAGTATTTGGCAGACATTTTCTTGAAAATGAACTGAGAGAACCTGTTATTACTTCAAGGTACACTGTCAGTATTTGTTGTCAGGAATGAGGTGGCACCTTCTAGTGAAAACTAAAATTTTGGAAAACTTGTATCTACCAATGTGAGCTTGACAGCTTTCCATACTTAAAGACTTTTCTGATAAGATAGGTAGTGTACTAATGAATATGACATTTTGATATCGTATAGTAGTCCTTTCTTATCCTCAGGGGGTATGTTCCAAGACCCCCTGTGGTTGCCTGGGAAAGTAGTCATTTTATATAAAAACATGTAATTTATATTAATATAATTTTAAAATTAATAGATATTAAAACTTTCTGTTTTAATTTTGAACACATTAAGTATTTATCAATGTAACTCTCATAAACAAAAACTCTTTGGCGTCATCAAAAATTTTTAAGAGGGGCTGGCCCGGTGGTGCTCCCGCCGAGGGTTCGGATCCCACATACAGACTGGTTCCCGCTCACTGGCTGAGCGAGGCGCGGGAGCAACACCGAGGGTTGCGATCCTGTTGCCGGTCCCGGTCCGGTACGGGGGCGACACTGAGGGTTGCGATCCGTTGCCGGACACGGAAAAAGACAAAAAAAAAAAAAAAAAATTTTTTAAGAGTGTAAGGGGGTCCTGAGACCAAAAAGTTAGAAAACCACTGGGTTAGAGTAAAAGATTTTTTTTTGATAAGATGGGGATGGGGCAGCTGGTCACTGGTGAAGAGGCTGGAAGGACAACATTTGCAATGTTGCAGTTCTGGGAGATATGACAAGGGCAAGGATTAGGACAGAGTTTGTGGGATGGCAAAACAGGACAGCTTTGATAGGCTTTGAGGCAGAGGATTAACAGGACAATAATAAATTAGTAGTGAGGTTAACGCTTGATAACTTGATGGTGAGATGTTGACATACTGAGAGTGGGAAGCAGGGAGGGGAAAACAAGTTTGGCCCCTAGGGTGGGAATAATAGGCTCAATTATGACAGATTGAATTTGAGGGAACTATGGACTTCTTGTAGGGGATTATTAGTGTGGGTCTAGAGCTCAGGAGAAAGCTCAGGCTTTCTGGAAGTAGACAGGAGGCTTTTTCTGTTTAGAGTGTAGTTTTGTAATTTTAGGCTTTTCGTCTGGTGTGTGAGACAGAATAGGAGTGCCTGTCCAGGAGTATGACCTTGGCATATCCAGTTGTATCTTTAATTGCTGTTACTTGTTCTTATCTCCAGAGAGTGGGACCGGGGACGTGAGCGCCGCAGTCGGGGTGAATATCGGGACTATGACCGGAATCGGCGAGAGCGGTTCTCACCTCCCCGCCATGAACTCAGTCCCCCGCAGAAGCGCATGAGGCGAGACTGGTGAGATGGCCACAGTGTCTCTCTCCTCTCCCTGGCCTCCATTCCTTCTGGGCCTCGTCTGTCTTCCCTCACCTCTGCTGAAAACTTTGTCATTTCCTTTTCTCAAACTTCCCATACACCCATTGTTTCTTTCCTATAAACTCTTGGGTGAGAGACCACATTCTTTGTATGCCTCTTCCTCTGTCCCATCCTCCTTCGTGCTCTGGGGAGATGGTTTCCTTCTCTGTCTGACTTTTGTGTCCCCTACCCTCAGGGATGAGCACAGCTCTGACCCATACCA